GGCTACATATGCACGCCATTTTAATCAGGGTTCAAGTGAGCTTTTTGATCAAGCCTGCCATTTGTTAGTGTGTTTAGTGTCTGTTTGTATACGTGTATAATCTTGGAAATGAGAGTGGAATTTATGGCCTACATATGTCCCTATTCCTTTACAGATTTATAAGCTATGTAAATCCAAGATTATGACATAATCATGTAATTTCAGGCCGTCTGTTCCCTCGACAAGTTCCAGCAACGGCGTTGGATGGTCCTCAGTTGTTTAGCGGACCAAAGCAAAAAGGAATGCTAGTGTATCCATATAAAATCTTAGCAGCACTGTATGAATACAAATCTATACCATGTATTACTTATTTCAAAATCTGATTATCATCAAATCAGTTTAATAATTTCTCGAAATTTTCCACAATATAAGTCTGATTGAATCATAACTACTCAGCAGTTAGACTTATTAAAAAAATATCAGTCAGAATAGTGTAACTACACTGTATAAATAAATACATAAATAAAAAGTAATAATACAACAACGATAATAATTTTCCCTAATTAATTAAATTAATTTAATCATTAATTTTTCCACAGGAATTTACCGTATTATTTTACTTTTTTTGTCTTGTCGACATGAGTGTAAATCTTTTTTTATGAGATATATTAACCTTACAATAAAGTTACAATCTGTAAATTAATATAATAAGAACAGTAACAGTATTATTCAGGTCTAGAATGTCAAATTACATTGAATTCTATGTTAGAATAAAAACAAAAAATATGTCCTGTTGCGGAATCTAAAATGTAGGGCTTTTTTTTGTTTGTTTGTTTGTTTTGTTTTGATTTGTTTTTTAAAGTAAAACTTTAAATTTAGTGTAAAATAATTTATTCTAAAAATCCTAAAAAAAATTTGCAAAACACATATTGTTATTGTTTATATTATTTTACAGAGAATTATTTTTCAAATACAGATATTTACTGTATACCATCTGCATTTAAAGTTCCTAAAAGTAAAATTTTAAATTTCATGTAAAATAATTTATTTTAACAATTGTAAAAAAAAAGTTGCCAAACATGTACTGTCAATTGTTCGTAAAACCCTTTACTTTTTTTTTGAGAATTATTATTTTTTTGATAAAGATATTTACTGTATACCATCTGCATTTACACAGTCCAACTGTTGTAGAATAATAAAAAAAATCTTAATATAAAACAACTCCAGAAGGTTAAACAATTCCATGGAGACATGAATAAAACACTTTGATTTATGCGTGTCTTCCTACATTCTCTCTCGGCCTTTGTTCTCTGTACTTTGATCTCAGGCCTGCACTGTGAAGCCAGTCCAGTTTGTGCATCATATATGTTCATTATCTGGTTTGACTAACCCTAACATTAACCTTCTGCATAACCGGTACTACAAAGCTGGTTATCAACTTGTTAAGTCAACTCTGGGTTTTCCTATCCAGCCACGAGCATGTTCATGGGAAAGAGGTGGGGGTGTTAATTACAAGCGACATCATCAGAACCATGAATGAAGTAGGCTGCTACATATGATATGAGATGAAACGGTACTGAAAATATCTGCAACTACGAGACAGTAAAATGTCAGTGGTGTGGGATGTAAATGACTATAGTATTAAAACAGAAACTGTAGAAACATCCATCCAAAAATTCACCGTCAGCCAAGACTTGAATTACGCTTAGGTATCACTAGGCTATATGTGATAGTTGTATAGAGTACGTTTTGCTATTTACTCTGAATATGTCACATAAAACAGTTTAACGTGATGCCAGACTGTTTCTGCTACTGAAGTAAAGGGTGGAAAAGTAGTTAATGACTGCTGAGGTCTATCTGACCGAAATGCTGCATTTATACTAAGGGGAGCCAATTAACAGTGTGTGGATTCTTTTTGTAATAAAATATTTTTTTTCCAAGTTCTTATTGCAGGTGTCTCATTTTATTGTGAGCTACAGTAATGAAATCAGGGTGTAAAATAACAACACTATCCCAGCGGACTAAATTAAACTTTTCACAAGGTAAAATACTGTTAATCATGGATTGTGAATGATCTCTGTGTTTGTTAGAAGTTCTGTTTTAAAACCAGTGGAAAAAGAGCCCTGGAACAATAAAATGATTCTACTGACCTATAACAGTATAGGCTACTCTTTTTCACCTGAAACCGTGGACTTTGGTCCATAGATACCTTTTTCTCAGGGATCTGACTGGTCAGTGGTTGAGGTGTTGACAGGCTGTGAAAAGAGAACCAGCTTCATAGTATTGATCCCTGAAGTTACCTCCCTAACTCCAAATCCTGCTTCGAAGTACAGGCCTCAGGTTGATAATGACACAACTGCCAAAAACAAATAGATTAAAGGAATATTTCACCCACAGAATGATCCTTTGTGTATCAATTACTCACCAAACATGACCTTGAATTCATGATTATAACAAATTATTTGGAGAAAATTCATGATGAAGTTATAGGCGTTTTCAACAACAGCAAAACTATATCAAAATATTCATTTAGAAACTCTTACACAACTTGGGCAGTATAATACAATTCTCATTTATCCAGTTGTATGTAACCATACAATAAAGTTGCCAAAGTTGCAAGTGTAGAAAAGAGGGGGAACTTTTTTGTTATTGTTGTTTTATTTTTAATTCTTTAAATTTAATGTAATTAAATTTATTTTAAAAATCTTTTTTAAAAAATTGCCAAACACGTACTGTCAAATGACAGTAAAACCCTATACTAATTAAAGGAGTATTAGTTTTTAGATAAAAAATCTTAATATAAAACTAAAATGTTGAAAAAAAAAATCTATGAAGACATAAGTAAAACACATTGACTTATATGTGGGTTTTTTTCTACATTGTCATTGTTGATAAGGACATAAATACCAACAAAACTCTGATTAAAGGAATATTTTGCCCAAAAATTTCACCTGAAAACGGTAAACTTTAGTTGCGTTTTGGCCGATTGTTTACACGACAGCGGAGTTTTGGGTGCCTGAAAACAGGTTCCAGAGTGCAATTTTTTGGAAGCATCTCTGTTGTCATGTAAACTTGCAATATGCAGTTCCTCTGAAAACGGAGACTTTTCGCACATGCGCATTACGCTTCCAGTCACTAGGCATGCATGAAAAAGTCGACCATCACAACAACAATGGCGGACTCTTGACCTCTGCTTGTGCTGCTCACCCTATTGAATTTATCAACGCTTCTCCATCATAGTGTAGATTTACTGTAGCAACTCCATCTCGTTGTCCGTCCAGACGAATGTTCGTGCGGTTGCCATTTTGTTTGCTTATACATCACCGCTCTGTAGAAGAAAGCGTAAGCGTCACACCGCCAGCTACTGGCCTGGCATGTATACTACAGCGTTTTTGGTCATTTTTGCACATCTGTGTGCATGGAGATTGTTATCAAAATGTTGTCATCTAAACGTGGAACTTTTTCAAAATGAAAATGAGAAACGATTCTGTTTTCAGTGGATCATTTTTGTGTAAACATGGCCTCAGTGTATCAGTTTCTCACACCATGTTACCTTGGATTCAACAAATCCAAAGTAACTATATCAAAATATTAGTTTTCCAAAATCTCACAAAACTTGTGCAGTATAATCCAAGTCTCAATTACCCAGTTGTATGCTCTGTACTTCCCAAACATATCTATTTTTGCTATAACATTACTGTTGGGCACACCAGCTCACCATTGAGAAATTTGTCACAGAGCTCCTCTGTGCTCAGATTCATGATGCCTACAGGCCATAAAGACAGCTGCTGCAGATGGAAATACCACGTTGCAAAGCTGTCAGATGCAAGGAAATGGACGCAATGTTGCCTTTGATTTGCCTAACTAACCCATACCTTCTCCCTTACAGCCAGCAACAAACCATGATGATATGGTGCATGTAACAAAGCAAAAACAAGCCATTGCATGTACTCTGTTTTTAATAAGTGATATAATAACAATGCAGTACTCACCTGATAAAAGGGCATGAGAAACACACATTTGAAAGCAGGTGCCTTTGAACTCTGCATTCTGTTGAGTTGCCAAGATGCAGTACTTGTCTATGCAGGCTATGCAAAAATGCATGTGTTTGGGAAGTACTGAGCATATGACCGGATGAATGAGACTTGGATTATACTGCATGTGTGTGAAAGTTTGTAAACGGTTGTTTTTATATAATTTTGCTGCTGTTAAACATGGAGCCCTATGATTGCAGTTCATTAACAATTTTCAACATTTTTTTGGATTCTTCGTTCACTGGAGGCAGGCAAGAAAAACAAAGTGCAGTTCACAAATTCAGTGTAGCACGGGGTGAGTAACTAATTATCCCTTTAAAACCAGACTTCTTGCGAGCTAAGAGTCTATGACCCGTAGCGATTGTGAAGCCAAGAGCATCGCCGATTTAACGACAACCACAGGAAGTCCAATCAGCTGTTATCAAACTGTATTGTCTTTCTAGACCTGCTGCAAGCTGTGAATCTTTCAGGCTGACTCACTTCATGCAAAGAGATGCCAAGTTAGTGTCACTCATGGGCAATCCAATATTTATACAAATAATCTTGGGGCTGGAAGGTAACAGGTTCAACTTATTGAACCACTTTGGGAAATACATGAAGCTGTTGGAAGCCAAAAAGAGACAACGTGTTGCAAAGAGAATGATAAATGTCTTTAATTCAATTCAATTCAATTCAATTTTATTTATAAAGCCCAATATCACAAATCACAATTTGCCTCACAGGGCTTTACAGCATACGACATCCCTCTGTCCTTAAGACCCTCACAGCGGATAAGGAAAAACTCCCCAAAAAAAACCCCTTTAGGCATTTAAATGTTCTGAAGAGGTCCCAGGTGTGAGTGGGAGTAATCATGGGAATGTTTCTTCCCTACGCAGTGAAAGTGAACATTAAAAGGAAAGCTAAATGTTGATATGATCCTGTTGACTTCTAAAAGAGAGTAAAATCATCATCATAACTTTATCTCTCTGTGTCTGACCTTGCTTTCAGCTATTGGCGAGCCGGTGAGACTGGAGTGGTACAACCCCCAGGGCGAGCGCATCGTGCCCTCCAAGCGGATGGCGCTCCACACGGAGACGTCACGATCCAGGCTCATCATTTACAATGCCATCATTGAGGATGCGGGTATCTACCGCTGCCAGGCCACCGACGCCAGCGGCCACACCGAAGAGGCCTCGGTCGTGCTGGAGATCTACCGTAAGTTTGACTGATAGTGTGCGCTCACAAACACATTTACCTGCAGATGCTCTGTGTTTGCCTCCTGAGGAGATTTCTACATGATGACAAGAAGAGAATAAACCTCTCACATTAGTGTTGGATCACAGGGGTAGCCAGCCTATTCATATTCTCAGCCTCTCCACAGCCACAAGCTGTTAAAAATGTTAGCTCTGTCTGTGTGCATGTCCATTTTAGGTCCATGTGTACCTTTGACTTTGTGTGTGAGCTCATGTGAGGGTGTGTGTTACACTCATTCTTGTGATTAAAGTATAATGACAGCTAGTAATGCCATGGGACTCAGATACTGCCAGGCATAATGAGGAATGTGGCACTGAGGCTAACCTGCCTTGCTGACCCATCACTATTTCCTGGGAAAAACTTAATGTTACGAGGCGGGGTTGGCTCAGTGGTTACACAGTCTGTCCCATCACAGGTTGCATCCTCACGGAGAGCTGTGAATTAACCACCATTTGTCCGGTTACAGTGTCCTTGTGCAAGACATCCAACTTATCCTCTACCTTCCTGTGATTTGCTGTGGAAAAGAATTAGAAAAGCCATGCAGGACCAGGACAGTGGCCACTATAGCTTCTTTGTAAATGATGTCATACATCGGTGCACTGTCCAGATGGAAGGCAACTGGAGTCAAAACCTACCAACGCTGCACAAATGCCTATGATTTCCACTGTTCAACTGTTCCAACTGATGAATTGGCCACTTTAAAGGACAACTTAGGTATTTTTCAATATACTCATTTACAATACCGAGCGGGGACAACTTCCGCCTTTCTGCTCCAACACTGAATGACAGCTGACTCCACTCATTCACACTCACCACTGCCCCAGGGCCGTTACCATATGCTATTTACAGAGATAGCACTGGTGATCTGAACCGGTCAGTGGCGAAAAAAAGCACTTTTATACGGGACACATTTGCCCCCATTACCATTTTAGCTAGTTTAGCGGCTCAATACTGAACCAATTTTAGAACGAGTTGTACCCATGAATCATACACACACATACACATGGGGAAATAGAGCCCAGGTTGAAAAATACCGAAGTTGTCCTTTAAGTCTCAAAAATAGTAGGACATAAAGGTCAAACCTCCATCTTCACTCTGGAGTAGTGGAGTCAACGAACGTCAGATGTGAACGTTAAAGTGTTCTATTTAAGATGCCCCGACTTGGGTGCAATTGCAATGTGCTGTGACAACTTCTTCCTGTTTTAAGCCACGACCAGTGGTGTAGTGGTCGTTAATGAGGTGGGCGTACTACTAGGTAGATGGTTAGTTTACCGAGGAGGAAGTGGGTATACTCTTCCATATATTCCAATGGCTTATCCTCCTTGGTTTGCGTTTTTAATTTCTCCTAGCTATTTGGGATTAGTAAGACCTCTTAGGTATAAAAAACGAAACATTTTCAACAATAATAAAGTCCCAATGTCCTCAAACTTGACGATCATCAAGTCTCCATGTCCTCAAGCGAGCTGAATATAAATTAAATAAATTCTGTATGTCTTCAAAGGATTACTTGCTAATTAACAGCGTCTTAGCTTGTTACCTTTTCTAAAATTGGTCAAATGTGTTGGCATATCAAACTACAAATGTTATTAAATATAAGTAAACAAGTTTGGCTGCCATCTTCTTTTTCCATGGATAAGTGTATTGTGCTCTCACTACCACTAGATGGCACAAAAAAGTGTCCACAAACAAGGACAACAGGCCTATGTTAAAGCTATAGTGCGTAACTTCTGTCGCCTCCCAGCGGATAATGCGTTATTACAACTAATAAGCCGGCAGCACTTCAATGTACACAGAGTAACACTCACCACACACCGTGTACACAGAGTAACACTCGCCAGTCGCCACACACCGTGTACTCAGAGTAACACTCAGTCGCCACACACCGTACACAGAGTAACACTCGCCAGTCGCCACACACCGTACACAGAGTAACACTCGCCAGTCGCCACACACCGTGTAAACAGAGTAACACTCGCCAGTCACCACACACCGTGTACACAATGCTACACAACATGGCGAACACCAGGCTGCTAACATTACATTACGTTCATAGCACCATTTCCAAGAAAATAATAAAGTACTAGGTCCAATTCATGTAACAGCAACACATACTACTCATAATATAATTATAAACCAAGTCACTTACTTATCCAACAGCAGCAAGGCAACATCCGTGTCTGCCCTCAGCCCAATTTCTTCCTTCAGGGCTCTCCACCGAGGAAAAGGGACGCCCATACAAATCCTTGTTTGCCTTCTCCATCGGTCACTTTCCTTCTTTGCTAATAGACCTTCAGCCAAACGTCCAGGCTTTTCCTTTGTGGAAGGATCCACTTCTGAACCGTGTCTCGGCTGCTTCTCCGCCATGTTGCTTTCTCTTTCTACCTGCGCTCTACCTCTTGCTATGACACTCTCCGCTCTTCCTCCCCCTGCCCTTCATTTCCTGTGCACCAGCACGGGAATGTCGCCGGTCTCATCAAACTAAAAATGATATATATTGAAAAATACCGCGAGATGTTAGAGGAGCCGATCGGCTTAATCAGCATTGTGTCATCTCCTCTAGTAGTGGCTTGGGTGAAACAGACATTTACGGACCTGTAGAAGTTACGCACTATAGCTTTAAAGGGAAATTTCAGTTTATTTCAACCCGTCTCCTATCGTCCTAAATTTGTTTCGAGTGACTAGTGACATAGAAATAATAGTTAGCATGTTAGCCGGTAGCCTAGATACAGCCATAGCGTCAGACCTGTTAAAACGTAAGTGAACGGGCATACTTCAAGTGCAAAGTTAGTCCACTAAACAAGCTTTTTTTCCACAAAGACCGCCTCATATCGTTAGGATAAATGTCAGAGAACATATAGAAAACAACATGTAAACGTGTTGTCTTACCTTACCGGTGTGCTGCCATGTTTGTTTATCCCTCTAGCTCTGCTTTCCAAAGCGCGGCCGAAATATCGCGAGAACAAGCAGCGACCTCATAGCATGCCTGAACAAGCAGCAACAGCTGGAAGGCAGAACCGGACAGTAGCCTGAAAAGTTCATTCATTTATTTTATGAAAGATTTATAGAATAATGGCTGACTTTTTGCCAGACTTCGACTTTGTGGAGGAGGAATTTGATTTTGCAGAATTTGATGGCCGCCCTTATTTATTTGAGCCAGAATACACTGACGAAGAGCTTCGTGAAATTGAAGAACAGAGGAGGAGAGAGAGAGAGGCGCGACAGGTAGAGGACGGGAGAGGAGGAATGGCTGCTGCAAGGCTGCGTAGCTCTGGAGATTGGTGGTGTACCTGTGAATGCTGTGCCCCAGTGCCCACAGAAGAGGAATGACTCTGTTGCAAGGAATGGGACCGGTTGCAGCCTTATTTTCAAGGTCTGGATGTGACCGAGGACGAGACACCTCCACCTGGAGTAGTATCCAGCTGGGCTTTATCTAGAGCTCGC